AATAAATAAATGGATGAGAATGTTGACATGATACTGGATGGATTATCTGAAAGATAATCTGTGATGGTTAAGGTTATGTGTCAACTTGGCTGGGCCTGGTTTTGAGTGGCTGGGCAGCTGGTTGTAGTTATTCCCCATGATGAGACTGTAAATCTACTCCATGATGGAATCTGCTGTGAGTAGCTGAGTAGATGCTTTAGGGATGTGGTCTGTGTACATAAGGAGAAGTTTTGGAAATGATCTTCAGCTTTTTGGCATGCTTGGATGCTGCATGTAGTCGAGTCTTCATTCAGCAGGCTGCCATGCCCTGCCAATCTTGGGACATTTTCTGGACTTGAATTAGTGGCCTGCCTTTATTTATATATATATATATATACACACACATAATCTTGAGACTGTGTCTTTTTACTTTTCAGTCTTGGGTTTGTCAGCCTCAGCAGCCAGCAGCTGCCTGAATTAAAAGAAACCTCTAGTTTCACTGGGCCAGGAGCAAGAGGCAGAGCTGAAACCCAAGGTCAAGGGGCTTTTACCCAGCTCCTGGCACTTTGAACTCAGAAAGCTTGCTTCCAAAATTGTAAGAGAACAAATCTGTTTGCTCAAACCACCCATTTTCCATTTTAATGGTATTTTCTGTTAGAGTAGCATGAAGTAACCAAAACATAATCTATCAGAAAGTTCAAACTATTCCAGATTTTTTGATGCAATAATAATGCATTGACCTTTTTTGTTTTGGGCAAAAGGGAAGGAGAACCTGAGTTCAAATTCAACAGTGCCACTAACTCATCTATGCACTCTATTAGTTTAGGCAACTCATTTAACTTTTCAGGTCCATGGCTGCCCCTTTTAGAAAATGAAAGGACTGTGTTGAATCTACTGAAAGACCTGTGAGCTCAAATGTCCTTTGTGACTTTGGCCAGATTTTCCATTCCAAGTCTACATGACCTGACCCTTTGGGGCTACTCCCTGAAGCCAATCTTAGGAAATGTGTTCTTCCTCCTTTCTCCTCCTTCAGCACCTACAAAAATGTATTCCCAATCTCATTACCTGTAGTTCTGTGAAAGGAATTTCACCAGAGAACAAGGTGTTTAAGGCATATTAATATAACCAGCTATAGGTACAAAAGAAAGTGAGAAATGCAGGCAAATAATCCAGCACTATCTAGTTTAAAACTCAGTTTAGAGTTTTGTTTGTTTGTTTGTTTGTTTTTTAGTTTCTTAATGTCTCTGTCCAATCACTTACTTGAGTCTGGCCTATTTTAAGCTGGTTTCTCTTCCTTTTTTCCCTTTTATTCCTCTTTCCTTTCTCTATACCTGAAAAATTTATTCACTAATACTAGTTGTATTCTAAATATTAGTATTCAGAAGACTAGTTGTCTTCTCCCAATGGATTTCTGAGATTAAGTTTCCCTAAATCTCTCATAAATGTGTTACACAGTGTAACAGCTTCTCCTGGATGAACTGTGCACCTACAGAGAACTTTGATCAACTCTTTGGGTATGTCCACTTCTTTGGGTACCTGGCTCTGGTGGGATTGTCTTTACTACTCTCTCCTAACTCTGGTCTTTCATGGTCCCCTCCCTTCATTCCTATTCCCCTTCCTTTCTTGCATCCCTTATGCCCCTGGATTGTTCAGGTGAGGCTTGTCCCACAGTCCAGCACCCGAGTCTAATCTGAGCCTTTCTAAATAGTCATTTTACCATTAAGACTGTGCACAGAAGCTTAAGTCCTTACCAAAGCAGCAGATATTTTGACAAACTGAGTGAGAGAGACAGAATGAATTGAGGGTAGCTCTTTCTTTACCCATGTAAAATATTGCTTTCTTGTATCATGCGGAAAGTGTCAGCTTCTTTCTGACTTTTTATGTTTTCCATCTCCTTTGCTTAATGTACTTAAAGAAAAAAAAAAACACTTTTGTTGTTGTCACATGCTGTGGAGTCAGTGCTATTCATAGCTACCCATGAACAACAGAATGAAATACTGCCAAGTCCTGCACCAGCCTCACAATTGATGCCATGCTTGAGCCCATTGTTACAGCCACTGTGTCAATCCATCTCATTGATGGTCCTCTTCTTTTTTGCTGACCCTCTACTTTGTTGTTATTGTTGTTACATGCCATCGAGTCAGCCAGACTCATAGCGACCCCTCCTTGGGTTTCTGAGGCAGTATCACTACGAAAGTAGATTGCCCCATCTTCCTTCTGAGGAGTGGCTGGTGGGTTTGAACTGCCAGCCTTCTGGTTAGCAGTCAAGTGCCTTAGGCACTATGCCACCAGA